GATAAGTAAATACATATTAATCATCACTAATTCTCACCTTGGCTCTCCTTTAATTAGATGTATATTCATATCCAAACCCATGTATAATAGAGCAGTGGCCCTCAGACTACATGTGGTGAAGGAGAGAACTTTTTTAATTGCCAATCTTTTCTAAAAAGATAATATCATAAAATACAATAAAATCCAATTAATAGGAAATGTAAAAATAAACAAAATATAAGCCCAGAGATTTTATTGTTGTATTCAACAAATATTTTTAAAAACACTGTTAAGTTTCTATAGAAGTTTATAAATGTTCGCACACATTTCTGTACTTGCTTTATTGCAGAGGGGAAAGAAAACTTGTAGACAGGCATGTGTTCCTGGATCATACTTAGGTAGTTCTACTATGGAGAGTGTATATTTTACTATTTTTCTTTTGAATAAGATAAACCTATTTGTAAAATATTCAAATGTTCATCGATGTGGTTATGTATATATACACACTTAACAATATACACACACGCATATATATTTGGCTTAATAAGATATTTGTGTTACAACAAAGGTATGAACCATTGAGTCTGAAATGTCCTTAAAGTGGAGGATGAGGTGAAGCTGACCATCTGCTTTTGAGACATCACTAATCTCTACTTTGATGCCTGAGTATTTGCCAAAGAAAGAAATGTTTTGCATATTACTGTATACATTTGTTTTCTGGTGACATTATTTACTCAAATAATCCAGAAATGTGTAAAAAACTCATGGCACCACTTTCTCTTGATTTTGTTACATATGTACAGTTTTATTTCACTCACATAAAGCAATATCAGTGTTACATTTTTCTTTTAGGCAATGTTCTGTACAGTGAGTCTATTACCCTACACACGTCTGAGAAGTGTACCTGTGAGAAGCTGATGTGTGACAAAACACATGTGATCTTAGAGCTCAATTTTTACTCATCACACCACCCACTCTGATACCCTCATCCCATTCTAGCCCTTTCTAGGGAGTTTATAACAACATTGAGCTTTGTTTTTCTAGGGGGATAATTGGCAATCCAGAAAAGCCAACCCAATTTCTATTTTGTTCGCTGTTTCTTTAATTGATGAGTGAGGCTGAAAAGGTGGATACAGGTTACATAAAGAGGTGGAAAGATTCATTTTGAGTGTCCATAGATTTTTTGGTACTTTTAAAAAAACTTTTAGAAATCTGCTTTTGTTTTTCTTTACCTTTTGCTCCTTTTAATTGTATTTGTTGCTTCTTAGAGATTCGTCACCTCTGCTAGGGTGTAGGTTATATAATTCCTTGCCGCTTTTATCTACATATTTTTTAATCTGTAGGTATAGGGGTAGATAAAAATCAGCAGTATAAAATACATATTTTCTGTGTTTAGTTGAATGGGTGATTCAGTGAAGCTGGTAATTATCTGTATCAGTTATCAATTGCCTTAATGATACTGTATAATGAACCACCACAAAACCTAGTATAAAACACTAAGTGTATGTATATTACTTGTGAAACTAAGACTAAGTGGGGCTTGGCTAGGTAGCTCTGTAGGCCCCAGCAGGACTTGATCACCTCTGTGAATAGGTTATTTTTCACTGAATCTACCTGGCTCTTCTCCCATCTCTCTCCTCCTGCCAGGGCAGCCCAGACAGGTTCTCAGGACAGTGAGGAGGCCCAGAGAGAGGGCAAACCCAGCTGCACAAGCACTTGTGAAGCCTCTACTTTCTTTATTATTATTATTATACTTTAAGTTATGGGATACATATGCAGATCGTGCAGGTATGTTATATAGGTATAAACGTGCCATGATGCTTTATCTTTGTTCTTAGTGAGAGAATGCTGCAAATTACATGGCAAAGGTCATTGGTTAGGAGGAAGAAGATGAAGAATTAGGACCATTTTTGCAATTGATCACGTATCTTACAAAGTAAATTCTTTCAGTTTAACAATATGATAAATGAGTAGGAATTGTTAAATGATTATATGTATCTTGATGAAAGTAACGTAACTGGGCAAGTTACTTAAACCTTCTGTGCCTCGGTATTTTCATTTCTAAAATGAGGATAATAATAGTGTCATCCCACAGGATTATAGTGAGGTTTAAATTAGTTGATTGTGTACTGTTTAGAGTAGTGCTCAGCATAGAAATATGCATAGTTTAAATGTTAACTGTAGTTATTAACATCATTATTATGAATCGAGGCAATCACAGTTAATACTGACAAATGTGTAAAATGACATGCTTGTCTCAAAACTTCCTTGAGCGTATTTATTTAGTGAATTTTTGGCTAATATTTATAGCACTGGTACCATCTGTTCAACTTACAAGGATTATTATTTTAGGAGTTTATACATGTCTATATTCCAGAGAAAAAGATTTTACATTATAGAACCAATTGGGACACATTTTTACTTATAATCTTAAAATGTCTTACTTGTAGACATACTGTAAATACTGCCGATTTTTCTTTCAATTTTCTTGCTTTTATAAATTTTGTACTAATGTTAAGAAATGGTAGCAAACTTATGAGTAATGTCAGTTTAATTGGTGTTTCTTAAAATGTTATGATCATTAATTGATTTGTACTATGTGGTAATGAGAATATATGCCAATGCATCCCAATCTTTAATGTGCATATGGTCACCTGAGACCTTGTTAAAAATGCAGATTTTGATTCTGTGGGTCTGACATGGGCCTGGGATTCTGCATTTCTAACAAGCTTCCAGGTGATGAAGTTGCTACTGGTCCCTGAATACCACATTTTAAGTGTACATGCGCATGTGTGCACACATGCGCATGTACACACACACACAGACAGCTCCTTATGTATATTTAAAAATTATGTACATGTATATATAATACATATTTTAAAATATATAATACATATTTATATTGAATAAGTGAAATATTAATCATTTGATATTTCATTATTAAATGTTATAAAATGTAATATATAATGAATCAAAGTAACATATATTTCATATATAATTGTATCTAATGATGCATTAATCTCTAAATGTTGAGAAATATCTTTACTGACAAAAAAACCTTTAATTTACAATTTTGTTTCCCTGGAAACTACTGAAGTAACAGCATTTGGCCCTATAAATATAAGTTGCTGTCGACTGCTTTGTTGGTAGAAATATACTTAAATTCCCTGGGTCCTGTAATCAGGATAAAAGTTGTCTCTTAAACTCGTGTATAAGAATTATTACACACACAACTAACTTACTATTTTTTTTTCTTCTGTGGCCATTAGTCACAACCCAATATTATAAATATTTGATTATATACAACTTTATATAAATAAAGTACATTAGTCAACTTAATTTTCTCCTTTTGAGTGTTAACCACAAATATTTTGTTTCAACTTCAGGACTGCAAAATCTTTCTAAAAGTTCGCAGTATTCTTTTTTAATAAGTAATCTTAAGAGTGCTTTGCATTTTTTTTTTTAAAGAAATGGGTAGTGTCAGAACAGTAGCATTAAAGAATACAATCGATTTTAAAACGGTAAAAGATGAAAGAGATTGGGATAAATCTCTGCTGACCTTAGGATAAACTAGAGACAAAAATCCTCAAAAAATAGAAAAGGGAAAAAAAATTGAGAATTCAGATTAACTGGCTCTGAACATTGGAATTCCCATCCAAAGGTATGTCCGATTAAGTTGAAATCTATTAAGAATATTTAAATAAAAGCCTTGATAACAATCAACATTTGAGTTGCACTTTCAAACTCAATTTATAGTTGTAGATATAAATACAGATTACAACTTAATCTATAGTTCACAAATTTTTGTTCACCTCTCTTACTTGACATTTGTAAGAAACCTTTGTTATTTAATGTTATACTCAAAGTACTTGGACTTTGAGACCTCCTCCTTTTTTTAAGTTTAAGCCACCTCTGAGGTTTAAAGTTGTCTTTAACTTTACTGCCAAAAAATCCTTTAATTTACAATTTTTCTAAGGAGCCCAGAATAAGGATCGCTATTGAGATGTTAATGAGAGGGGACTGAATTTTTGGATGACTCTGGAATATAGAGGTTAGCAAAATATTAGTAGCTATTATTTATCATGTATTTATCATATACTGTTTATTACTGTGTGTCTAATATCATTTCTCTGTTTTATCTTTTTATTTTGGAATTGTCTAGTACTCTAAAAAAATATAGTAAATGTGTTCAGAATGCACACTTTATAGTTTTCCCTTAAATGATGTCGGTGGGCAAACTTGAAGACATTCACAAAAACATAATTTTCATTTAGTCTTAGATAACACCAAGGTGACACAGTAATTAAGTGGAATTGGTGGGCAAATTCTTAATGGAAGCCTGAGCTCATAACAGAACATAAAGAATTTCCCAAGGATGAAATGCTGGTGAAGCTGCTTCTTCAAGTTATATATGTTTGTATACGTGAAAATAGGTACAATCCAAGTTTAACTCAGGAATACTTAGCTCCTCAGGAATTTGATATTGGGTTAATAACTCTTCCCTCAATTACCTAGGTTGGAAAGTCCTCAAATTTTACCTTAGATCAGGATTGGCAAGCTTTTGGCAAAGGACCATGTAGTAAACATTTTAGGTTTTGTGAGCCATAAGATCTTCTTGACCACTCAGCTCTGAAATTTGTAGTGTAAATGCAGACACAGACAATACGTAAACAAATGAAAGTGCCTGATTTCCAAAGAAATCTTATTTACAAAAACAAGTGTAAGCTGTGCTTCGCCTGAGAGCCAGTTTGCCAGACCACTGGGTTAGATTCTCAAGGTCACTTTCAATTCTGAGGTTATGGTTTTGCCAAATTATCTGAGTTATTCATTCCTCATGAGTTATGGAAGGAGAGCTCCTTTCATCCTGAAACCAGAACTCTCTCTTTGTACATGCAAATGGCCCATCAGGGTATTTTCCTAAACAAAGGCATTTCCCTCAGAAGAGGAATTCTGCTGCTACTGTTAAGATAGTAAGTACACCACAGATGGTGCTTTCATTTCAAAAACAACCACAACATAAAAAAGATATAACGTTTCTGTTTAATTATTGCATTTTTCTCTCCTATGACTTGATGATTTAGTTCAGCAGCGGTGCAAATTAATATTCAAGCTTCTGCTGGAACTCATCTGTTGTTGATTTCGTTGTTGTGATGGTGATGATTCTAAACATAGGCAGGAGGCAAGATGAGAAAAAGATACGTCAAACTCCTCATCGATCTCCTTTTGGCAGATTCAAAGGGTCTATATTTAAGCCTACATTTAAATAAGCATTTTCATATCATCACTGCCAGTTTTAGAGTGTTTCACTGGTACAATCATCGTATTAGCCAACTGTATAGAAACTATTAGACTAGGACTGCTTTGATGAGCAAAGTAGGGCTCCTCTTTCCTTGGTTCTTTTCTTGCTGCTCTGCATTAGAGGTCTCATACTGAAGGCTCACAGGCTTCCTTGTGGCCCCTGGACCCACTCAATGTGGAAAAACAAAAACTAAGAAAGAGTTGCCAGTGTTTAAAGGAGATTTTAAGTAGAACTTAGATTTTAAGTAGATTTTAAGAAAGAACTTAGATTTCTTACTTCCTTCGAAGGAGATTTTAAGTAGAAACTTAGATTTCTTACTTCCTTCGAAAATCAGATCTTCTAAAGAGCTGTTTTTATTTTCACAGGAGAACCATGTGAGGAACAGCTGCTTTAAAAAAAAAAAAAAATGGTTGTTTCTACCACTGTCTTCATCTCCCCACCATTGAGACTGTGTCAGAGGCCATTTATCCTCATGACGCTGCCATGATCATGCCAGCTTGCTTCACTCTTGTACCAACCTGGTCGTTAGAGGCATTTGAGTTTGTGGCCCGTGCTGTGCACATCATCCCTGGAGATCTCATCAATTACAATTATTTCCACCTATTGGACTTTAAGTAGTTCTACCTATTGGACGTTTTCAGTGCAATCTGTCTTCCTAAAGCATACTGCACAAAGTGTGGCTGTACAATTACTCTCAAGAGCGTTTTTGTTTATATTGGTTAATGTCACTTTTTTAGGTCACTTATAATTAAGTCCATGTTAAGAAACTTTTCATTTTCAAAAAGGAAAATTTTTTTTCCTGAATAACTGTTACACAGGCTTTCTCTTTTTGTCCTGGCTACCAGAAAGTTCAGAACTCAGTGTGTCATAATCCTGGTAGTATTTCTGCCCTCATTTTGTGTGTTCTTGTTCTCTATAATATTAATGCTAACTATTAAAGTGAACACACACATAGTCATGTTCTACAAACAACTTTTGGGTTCATTTTGTGAGAGATTAGGCTTGAAGACATCAGTATAGACTTGTTCTTAACTTTTCAAAACCATCCTCCACACTGACAATCAGATTTGTATTTATAAAATATGAATCAGGCCACATTATTATTCCCTTGCATATTTAGGGATTCAGCATGTCTTTGTCTCATTTATAAGAGATCTAATTTGTTTATTAGAGTGTCCAAGCCCCTTCATTACATTTCTCAAACCTATGTTCCCATCTGGAACATTCTCTACTTCGGTCCCACAAACCTGGTACCTCAGTAATGAATTACTTCTAGTTCTCCAAATGTACCAGGGTATTTCCTACCACTTGACTTTCACAATACCATTGATTCCCCCTATAATCACTCCAGTGTTTTATAGGTGAGTCACTCAAAACAAATATTACATTGTTCTGTCATTTTAAAATGAAATGAACAACTACTCGTATTTATTTTGTATTTTGTGCTGTACCCAATATTTTGTATAAAACTGTATTAATTGACTATGTAGCTGGCTTTTGATTTGGTGAGATTTTCACAAAATTTAATAACTGATCAGGATGTATTTATGACTATAAATAATGGGGAAACTTTTAAAGAATAATTATTGAGTGCTTACTGTATGCCAAGTTATCTTTTAAATATGTAATATGTATTTATTCACTCAATCATCCCAGCTACCTTACTGCCCTATAATTTTTGTCCTCATTTTAGAGATGAGGAAACTGAAGCTCAGAGGGATTAAGTAATTTTCCCAGTAACACACAGCTAGTAAGGAGTGGGATCAGGGTTGACTCCTAAGTTCTACTCCACAGGTGATGTTTATCTGCTCCATTACTTTCCATTTACATGTTGAAAGTATATCACTTACAACACCAAATAACAACTAACCTCAACTTCCATTAGTTCTATCAGTTCTATCAGCTCTACAGGAAATGCTGGGGTTGAGTCCTTAAGGTATCCACCATGAATAAATTACATCCTTTGCATCAAGCATTTCTTCTCTTTCATATTCAACGTAGTGAATTCAGAATGGAAACAACACATCTCTAAGCTGCTGATGGTGTTGCAAGCACCATGCACCATGTTTTGAACATTATAGCAGTGATGATCAGAAGACAATGAGAGAGTATCCTGTGGACCTACATTTCTGTAGCTGGAGGCCCTGGTATCTGTAGCAAAATGATGAGCATCGGTGAGCCAGGTCCTGGGCTCAGAGACACCTGAAGACCAGAAGGTGGTGGCAGGTTCCTCTGACTTCCACTAAGTGACCCACTAGTTCAGCTCTTACCACATCACTCATAGCTGATTTTGACATAGGTGTTTAGTAAACAATATGCTTAGATGCCCTGGCCTATCTCAGTAAAACAACAAGTGAAATGCAAGAGTCTTATCCTTTTGTTTTAGAAAGTATAGCTTCAACCAATATATTTGTTAGTTTCTTGGAGAAAAGCTAGATTCATAGCATTCCATTTTGTTTTAATCGACATGAACGTGTGAACGTGTACTGTTTTCTCGGTCTTTTTTTTTCTGATGCATGGTCTGGACGTTGGCTCAGTGAGACTTATTAGTGAGAAAACTAATAGGAACATATTTGGAGATGCAGAACTCAGTAGAAAGCCAGAGCATTTATTTGGATGGGATCTTATTCTAATAGGAGGCAACATCATCAGGAAGAAATAAAGATCTATATAAGTTGCTCCAGGAGGGGGCTAAATCTGTTATTTGGCTATTGCGATTTCATCAAATTGATCATTGTAACTATCATCTTTGTCTTGAAAAGCGTCTGCCACTAACAAAGCCTGTTCCCCGTGGAAAACTATTAGCTCTCAGTGAATTAGTTAAAATTATGTAGCACACTGAACAAATTGACTCTGGTATAAGACAGCATTTGATCGTTCACACTTTGATGGGAAATATTGAAAGGAAACTTCTACATGCAATTAGGTCACATGAAGTCAAGTTAGCATGAAGTCAAGTCTTTAATGTTTTTTTAATCCTCTAAGGAGTATTTTCTTAGAAGAGAAACAAAGGTTATTTATTTTCTGCAATAATAAAATCTGTTGAAAATGAAAACTTTGTAGATAGTTTTTAGTACAGTGATATTGTTAAAAAGATCAAGGACAATAAGGCTGTATTTTCATCTATATTTTATATACATATAGAATAGCACAGTATTGGGCCTATTTAAAACTAGCTAAGTGTCTTTCATGGTCTATAACCAGGCAGGTTGAATTTAAAAATTGAGTAAAGGGCTATCAAAAATGCACATGTAGGTTACACCCTTGCCAATTTTTTATTAGTTTAGCATGGCATTATATTCATTACTATTCAACCCAAAGTAAGAAGTATATAAAAATCATCTATGAATATTTCTGCCATTAATAATAGTTATAAAGTATTAAGCTTTGTGCTGCTTATCAATTAATATAGACCATGACATTAAGCATAATGGTTTTTAACACACTATCTTACCTCCAGAAATGCTGGGTGGTTTTTCAGTTCTAGCAGCTTTTGATGTTTATCTTCAAGAGTTCCGGTGGGGCTCCAAACCTTGAAAATAGATTTGGGGCTCCACTGAATGATTTTCAGCTCCTGTCACTGTGACCAGCTAACATAACACCTGGCCTCAGCTGGTCACGCAGCAATAGCTCTAGTGGCTGGCATGTGAGCCAGCTGATTGTCATGGTTGTGGCTGGAGGTTTCAGTTTTTTCCTTTCTAAGTAAAATGTATCACCCTATGATTTCAGTGATCCAAACAGCCACTGGCAACTGTTAAGAGTATCATATCTCAGTTCCTATGGAAACATGTAAAATGGGTTATAAAATATTTGTAATGTGTATTTTGTTTATTGTGACTATCTGATGCTACTTTAATGTTTCCTTTCTGATTATACTCTGGTTGAATTGTCTTCTGTTTTAGTGAAATCTTTAGTTTGCTCATGTCTTCTGTTTTCATATGATAGACTTTTGCCTCTACATATTTTCAATGGTAGCAGATTCTTCTCAATTTGTTGTATATTTTTTAAAAATGTATAGACAATTATTGTGTACAGGAAGGGGTATAACCAATCCTCCATGCCAAAGGACTCTTTCACCATGCTGGAACAGTTTCTAGAGAATGAACTGAATGGATAGTGAAGATCAAGTTCCTTCCTCTCACTTTTGTTCCCTTTTCTCTCCACAGGAACTTTTTACACCTGAATGCAAGTTTAAAGAATCTGTTTTTGAAAATTATTATGTAATCTACTCCTCCATGCTGTACAGACAACAGGAATCTGGTAGAGCCTGGTTTTTGGGATTAAATAAGGAAGGGCAAGCTATGAAAGGAAACAGAGTAAAGAAAACCAAACCAGCAGCTCATTTTCTACCCAAGCCATTGGAAGGTTAGTATTAAGTATACGTCATTGTTACATAGACTTATTACACATTTTATTTTTCAAATTGATAGATCTATGGCTATAAAAAACCCCCAAGAAGTGCTGGAAATGCCATTTATTTTGATCTGGGTGATGGTTACACAGATGCCTACTTAATTTATTCATTTAGAATTTGTGTCCCTATATACTTTACAGTATTTGTGTATGTATGTGTACCAGGAAAAACTTCTCTGCCACTTCCAATGTCTCAAATCCTCAGAGCTACAACCACTCTAACCCTTAGATAATTTAAATTAATTAATTTAAAACAATTTTGAATCTATAATGATACAAATCTATGATGATAAGTATATTAGAAAAAGATGATAAGTATATTAGAATAGTAAGTTTTGAATGTGGAATCAAAAGTATTTTCCATTTTAATATTATCTAGGTGAAAGTAATTACATACTTGTGAATTATTATAATTACAGAAAATTAAGAGATAATAGCTTGACTCTTAAAGAACTTGCTGATGTTACACATCTCCTTTCAAATTGCATAACTCTTCACTGTATACAGTTGTAGCATTACTTCTGTTACTAAAATAATTTATCCATATTCATTTATAAATAACGATGACTTCACATTTACTTAGATGCCCAAAGAGCAGGCCACAAAGTTTTCACAATTAATCAACAACATCTGCACCTCTCTCATTAATGATTCTACCAAAAGTGTTATTTACTTTTATCTATGTAAGATTTGAGAATTACAAAAGTATTTGATTGTAGGCTATTCATGTGCACTTTCTATTCAAATACTTTTGTTTTCTCTTTTGCAGAAGATCAGACCTATAGTAACTCAGTAAATACTTTAAATCAGCTTAGACAGCTCAATTTTCTTTTTTTTTTTTTTTTTTTTATTCCTATAGGAAAGGCTTAGCCATCAAGAGAAAATGCATATTGGTTTCATAATGCATATTCTCTATATTGAAATAAAATAATTTTGAGCAGTCAATTCTTCATATCTGTGAGTGTCTAATTTTCAGTTTGCCTAAATTCAGAAAAACCACTCTTATTGGCTAATACTATTTTTATAATTTCAATGATGTTGACTTATTGTCACTCTTAATTACATTTGTCTGTAGAACAATTTATCGAAACCCAAACAGTTAGCCACCAGGGCCTATGCAGGAAATGACACATTATTCTAGTGTCTGAAATATTCTCAGTACATGGTAGATATAAGGAAGATTAGAGTAGAAGGAAGTTAGAGGATTTACCTTTTCTTCCCAAATAACACATCCATGATACGCTTTCATTGTTTTAAATGAATTTTGGTAACATTGGACTCACCAATATTTAAATGAAAATAAAAAATTAAAAACTAAGGCCACAGAAGCTCTAACAAGACCATGGTGTATTTGCCACCTTACGTTATCTCTTTTCACTCATTTTTACAGTTAAAAATTGACTAAATATTTTAAACCTTGCCTTTTAGCTGCATAAATGTAGCAAAACCCAAATGGGGTTTTATGTCATTTAACTGAGGTAAAATTTGGGAACCAGTTGTTTTGTATACCCCATAGCAAATATCTGAGATAATCATGATGTGGCATAGAATACTTGGTATTTCACTCATGTTTTTAATTGTTGTGTGTATATGATTGTATATGTGTGTGTATATATATATATACACACACATACATGTATGTATGTATATATGTATGTGTATATATATATATATATATACACACGTATATATATATATACATACATATATATGTATGTATATATATATGTATGTGTGTATATATATATATATATATATACATATGAGAAGGAAACAATAGTTTTCATGTATTCAAAAAATTCATAGAAGTACTCTAAAAACAGTTAAGGGGGTAGATACTATAATGACAGAGGCTATCACATTGTTTACTTGATTGATAGAAGAAAATTAATTTCAAACTTTCAAAACCCATACTGGATAAAAATTATGTTATGGGAAATGTTAGGACAAATTAAGTACCTGGTTAATTATTGATAGGCTAGAACATTCATCTCTCTGATGAAACTTTACTACATAGAAAAGGTCAGGCCAGGTGCAGTGACTCATGCCTGTAATCCCAGCACTTTGGAAGGCTGAGGCAGGCAGATCACAAGGTCAGGTATTTGTTTGAAACCAGCCTGGCCAACATGGTGAAACCCTGTCTCTACTGAAAATACAAAAATTAGCTGGGCATGGTGGTGAGTGCCTGTAATCCCAGCTACTCAGGACACTGAGGCAGGAAAATTGCTTGACTCTGGGAGGCAGAGGTTGTAGTGAGCTGAGATCGATCATGCCACTGTTGCACTCCGTCCCGGGCAACAGAGCAAGACTCCATCTCAAAGGAAAAAAAAAAATCAAGGTCAATGCTTCCTGCTTTTGTCCCCCTAATTTAATTAGCATGAGAAGTGAGAGACTGGAATATGCTTCCAGGATATGCATTAGTTCCTTTTGCTACCTTGGCAATTCATTATTAGAAGTCTTAATAGAAGTCTTATATACATTTGCTATTTCAAGTATGTGTGCTGCTGAAAACTCAGATGATGCATTGATGCCAGCAGCCACGTTCTACCCCCTTGAACATAAGGAATGCATATGGTAGTTCCTCTTAACTAAACCTAAGAACTCTTCATAAAATACCTGAAACTTTCAAAAACCTAAAAAGCAGTTTAGGCAGCTCTAATGCACTTGTATATCTGACGACAGATGACTTTAACCCCTAGTTTCCCAAAGTACCAGTCACTCTTATATGTCCTTTCCCAGGACTTCCAAAAATTATTTTCTAAAAAGCCACGTCAACCACTGTGATTATGCCATCAGATACATTCAGATAATTCTTCAGGCAATTTCAGTTGCTGTCTTGCCATTATGTTTCTACCCCTATATCAGGTCAATTATTAGATTTTTTAATAATGTAGCAAAAAAACAAGGAGTTGCCTTCTGCTGCTCAAGGGTCTCTTTCCATGATTGTAGGAAATGAACATTGAAATGAAATCTCCTGAAGCCTCTGGCTTATGGGAAGAGAGTATGTGTGTAGCTTTGAAGTTGACACTATATGACTATGTTGCTTTTGAACCAGATGAGAGAAAATAATTTAGTGTTCTAGGATGCAAATATCATAGCTCGCCAAGATTGACTGAGGTGAATGAGAAGTTCAAGTGTTGATATTAGTGTATAGTCAAAGGGAAGTCTGAGTTTTCCTTTTTAAAAATTAAGTTAAATGCTTGTCATTCTCCTACAGTTTGTGTGTGTGTGTGTGTGTGTGTGTGTGTGTGTGTGTGTGTGTGTGTGTCTGTTTTACATCATGGGCCCACAAAGAGGCCATAGCTCCCATTTAAACTCTGTCATAGACAAAAGCCATACATGCTTATGTACCTGTTTTAGGTATACAGACCAGACAATGTGAAAGGAGTATTGTCTTCTGTGGGCTGGAAATGATTGCTTTACAACAGGAATTCCTTCTCAATGGAATTGCTTTACCTCAGGGAAAACAGAAGTGGGCAAACTGCAGTGGTCTGTGCATGTACAGATGGACCATTCCTGCACCTAACCAAGCACTGTTTCCTTTTCCTCCTCCTTTCTTCCCATCATTAGTTGCCATGTACCGAGAACCATCTTTGCATGATGTTGGGGAAACAGTCCCGAAGCCCGGGGTGACGCCAAGTAAAAGCACAAGTGCGTCTGCAATAATGAATGGAGGCAAACCAGTCAACAAGAGTAA